GGCATGGAGGTGTCCTTTGTGCTGCTCCTGGGCCGGCTTGTGGCTGAAGTGGCTGGAAAATCCCCGGAAAACTCAGTGGGTGCTCCGGATTTTAATTTTATTTAATTTATTTTCAGGTTTTATTTTTATTTTTAATGTTTATTTTTAAAATTTTTATTTCTTTTATTTTTATTTTATTTTTAAAATTTTAAAATTTTAATTTTATTTTTTAAAATATTCTTTATTTTTTAAAATTTTCTTTTTTTCTTTTTTTCTTTTTTTCTTTTTTTATTTTTTTATTTTTTTCTTTTTTTATTTTTTCTTTCTTTTTTTCTTTTTTTCTTTTTTTCTTTTATTTCTTTATTTTCTTTAAATTTTTTTATCATTACTATATTTTTTTACACTAGTTTTTTTTTTAATCAGACATTTTCTGCATTTTTATTTAGAAAATAAAAGTCAAATGGATTTATAGAAGTAAAATGGATTTATAAAAGTAAAAGATTTATAGAAATAAAATGGATTTCTAGAAGTGAGCTGGATTTCTAAAAGTGAACTGGATTTCTAAAAGTAAAATGGATTTCTAAAAGTAAAATGGATTTGTAAAATGGATTTCTAAAAGTAAAAGTAAAATGGATTTCTCAGATAAAAATGGATTTCTAAAAGTCAACTGGATTTCTAAAAGTCAACTGGATTTATAAAAACGAAATGGATTTATAAGAGTAAAATGGATTTATAAGAGTAAAATGGATTTATAGAAATGAAACGGATTTCTAAGATAAAAAGGATTTCTAAGATAAAAAGGATTTCTGAGATAAAAAGCATTTCCAGGAGTGAACGGGATTTCTGAACTGAACCAAGCCCACAACCACAGGGAATTTGCTCCCTGCCAGAGCAGGATGCAGCGGGATTCCCGGGGGATTCCCGGGGGGTTCCCGGGGGGTTCCCGGGGGATTCCCGGGGATTCCGGGGGATTCCGGGGGATTCCCGGGGATCTGGGAGCCCTGGGATCGAGTTCTGGATCTTGGGATTTGTCCCAGTGCGGGCGCGGTCGGAATTCGGGGATTCGGGAATGTCCCGCAGGTGCCGGGAGCCCCGGGATGCTGCGAGGGGAGGCCGGACCCCAACGGCTCCTGCCCGCACTGCGGCCCAGGTGGGAATGCGGGAAATCCCGGGATGCGAGCGCCCTTTCTCCCGGGAATTAGCTGGGGGTGAAATCTGGGAGCGAAATCTGGGGATGAAATCTGGGGATGAAATCTGGGAATGAAATCTGGGGATGAAATTTGGGGATGAAATCTGGGGATGAAATCTGGGGATGAAATCTGGGGATGAAATCTGGGGATGAACATTGGGAGTGAACACTGGGAATGAGATTTTGGGAATAAAAATTTGGGATGAAATTTGGAATAAAATTTGGAATAAAACCCCTTCAGCATGGGCAAAGAGCACCCAGGTGCTGTTTGTAACCCCAGAAAGGGAATTCCTGCTTTTCTTTCCCCTGTAAAATCCGGGAATTGGCTGGAATTCGGGAATTCTGTGGGTTTTCCCCTCTGAATTCCGGGAATTGGGTGAAAATCAGGAATTCCATGGGTTTTCCCGTGTAAAATCTGGGAATTGGCTGGAATTCGGGAATTCCGTGGGTTTTGCCCTCTGAACTCTGGGAATTGGGTGGAAATTGGGAATTCCATGGGCTTTCCCCTCTGAACTCTGGGAATGAGCCGGAAATCAGGAATTCCGTGGGTTTTCCCATGTAAAATCTGGGAATTGGCTGGAAATCAGGAATTCCATGGGTTTTCCTATGTAAAATCCAGGAATTGTGAGGAAATCAGGAATTCCATGGGTTTTCTCCTCTGAACTCTGGGAATTCTCAGGAAATCAGGAATTCCATGGGTTTTCCCATGTAAAATCCGGGAATTGGCTGGAATTCGGGAATTCTATGGGTTTTCCCCTCTGAACTCTGGGAACTGGGTGGAAATCAGGAATTCCATGGGTTTTCCCTATAAAATCCCGGGATTGTCAGGAAATCGGGAATTCCGTGGGTCTTCCCTATGAAATCCCGGGATTGTCGGGAAGCCCTGGGAGCCTTTTCCGTGTTTTTTCAGGCTGCGAGCGGCGCTGGATGGAGGACGGGAGCGGCGCCGGCTGCGCCCGGTGCCGGAACCAGAGCCTGGGGCCCCTCGGCGCCTGCGGTGGGGCCCCAGCCCCTTCCCCTCATTAATTACTGCTGGCGACTAATTGGGGGATCTGGGGCTGGGATTCATTAGCGCGAAAATCGCCTCCAAAATGGAATTAAGTGCAATCAATTCATTGGTATTAACCAGTGCGAAAATCGCCTCCAAAATGGAATTAAGTGTGATAATTTTTATCGATTAACTGGTATTAATTACTGTAAAAACTCTTCCAAAATGCAGCAAAAATATGGAGATTTTTGAATTCTTTTTGTTTGAATTAATGGTAATAATTTGTATAAATTTATTGGTATCAAATACGGCAAAAATCGCCTCAAAAATGGAATTAAGTGCAATAATTTTTATCGATTAACTGGTATTAGTTACTGTAAAAACTCTTCCAAAATGCAGCAAAAATATGGAGATTTTTGAATTCTTTTTGTTTGAATTAATTGTAATAATTTGTATAAATTTATTGGTATCAAATACGGCAAAAATCGCCTCAAAAATGGAATTAAGTGCAATCAATTCATTGGTATTAACCAGTGCAAAAATCACCTCAAAAATGGAATTAAGTGCAATCAATTCATTGGTATTAACCAGTGCAAAAATCACCTCAAAAATGGAATTAATTGTGATAATTTGTGTCAATTTATTGGCATTAATTAGTGCAAAGAATTGCCTCCAAAATGGAATTAATTGTAATCGTTTGTATCAATACAATGGTATAAATTAGTGCAAAACTCCTCAAAAATGGAATGAATTGTAATAATTGGTATAAATTAATTGGTATCAATTACTGTGAAAACGCCTCAAAAATGCAGCAAAAAATGGAGATTTTGGAACACTTTTATTTGAATTAATTGTAATATTTTTTATCAATTTGTTGGCATCGAATATATAAACAATATATAAATATAAAAATAATATAAAAATATAAAAATTAAAAAATAAATAAAAAATATATAAAATATTAAAAAATGTATAAAAATAGAAATACATGAATTTAGCCCCTGGTGAAAAGAGATTTTTCTTTTTTGCCCCTTTGGCTTTCCAGGGGGCCCCGAGGTCGCGGCTTCGCTGATTTTGGGGACGTTTCTCCTCAGTTTGGTCCTGATCCTCTCGGTGGCTTCTTTCTTCTACCTCAAACGAGCCAACAAACTCCCAAAGGTTTTCTACAGGGGCAACAAAGGTAACAATCCGCTAACGACGCCTTCCTTAATTAACTCCGCTCTGCTAATTGATTGAAATGGGGATTGTTCCTGCAAAACCCAAATTTTGGGCTCAAAAATTCCCATTTTGAGCTCAAAAATTCCCATTTTGTGCCAATAAATTCCCATTCTGTGGAGCAAATTCCCATTTTTTTGCCCAAAATTCTCCAGTTTTGAGAGTCCCACACCCAACAAATTCTCCAGATGGGATTTTTGAATATTTTGGTTGGATTTTGGGAGAAAATTCCTTTTTTACCAAGAAAATCAATCCCTCCATGGACAAATTAATTAAAATAATTAAAATATAGTTATTAAAATAAAATTAAAATATAATAATTGAAATAATTCAAATTTATTAAAATTATGTTAATTCTTTTTTCTTCTCTTTTAGCATCTGTTCTGCAGCCTAGTGAAACAGTGAGTGAATTCTGCTTTTAAATGAATGAGAACTTCCAATTTAATTAACGAAAATTTCATTTAATTACCAAGAATTTCATTTAATTAGTTATTTTTCCAAGGAAGAAATCTGTACACAGTGAAAAACTATAGGAATCCTAAAAAATTCCTGAATTTTCTAAGGAAAATCTGTTTAAAATTGTTGTTTTTTTTTTAACGGGAATATTATTGGAATTTTAAAAATTCCTGATATTTAAAGGAAAAAGTGTTAAAAATGGGGTTTTTTTGACCTTCCTCTTCTCCTGCCCCCCAGGCATCCATGATCCCTCCTCCTGCTTCTTCAGGTGAGGAAATTTCCCCTGGAATGTCCCAAAAATCACCGGAATGTCCCAAAAATTCCTGGGAAAAGGGGCGGGGGCTCGGGTTTAGTGGGGCTGGGCTTGGGATTTGTGGGTTTCGTTTGGGTTTTGGGGTTCGGTTTGTGGGTTGAGTTTGGGTTTAGTGGGTTGAGTTTGGGTTTAGTGGGTTTAGTTCGGGTTTAGTGGGTTTAGTTTGGGTTTTGTGGGTTTAATTTTGGGTTTTGTGGGTTTAATTTTGGGTTTTATGGGTTTAGTTTTGGGTTTAGTGGCTTTGGGGTTTAGTTTAGTGGGTTGAGTTTGGGTTTAGTGGGTTTAGTTTGGGTTAGGTGGGTTTAGTTTGGGTTTAGTGGGTTTAGTTTGGGTTTAGTGGGTTGAGTTTGGGTTTAGTGGGTTTAGTTTGGGTTAGGTGGGTTTAGTTTGGGTTTAGTGGCTTTGGGGTTTAGTTTAGTGGGTTTAGTTTGGGTTTAGTGGGTTGAGTTTGGGTTTAGTGGGTTGAGTTTGGGTTTAGTGGGTTTAGTTTGGGTTTAGTGGGTTGACTTTGGGTTTAGTGGGTTGACTTTGGGTTTAGTGGGTTGAGTTTGGGTTTAGTGGGTTGAGTTTGGGTTTAGTGGGTTGACTTTGGGGTTGGGATTTGGGGATTTAGGCTCGGTTTTGTGGCTGGGTTTTGGTTTTGTGGGGTTCATTTTGGGTTTGGGGTGAAAAACCACCAAACCCAACCCCAGCCCCCGCTGCTCCCCAGTCCCACATCCCGCCTCCTCCTCCCTTCGGGAATTCCCTCTCCAATCCCATCCCTGGAATTTTTTGGGATGTGTTCCCGCAGTGCGGAAGCCGCGCTACGTCCGCCGCGAGCGCTCGCAGGGCCCGGCCGAGAGCCGGGTCAGCAACGTCTGAGCCCGGCCGGAGATCCCGGAAATCCCGAAAATCCCGACCCTGGAAACCCCGAAAATCCCGACCCTGGAAACCCCGAAAATCCCGACCCTGGAAACCCCGACCCTGGAAATCCCGAAAATCCCGACCCTGGAAATCCCAAAAACCCCGACCCTGGAAACCCCGACCCTGGAAATCCNCCGACCCTGGAAACCCCGACCCTGGAAATCCCGAAAATCCCGACCCTGGAAATCCCAAAAACCCCGACCCTGGAAACCCCGACCCTGGAAATCCCAACCCTGGGACATCCCAGCCCCGGGAGATCCTGGGAGATCCCAATCCCAGAAAATCCTGATCTTGGGAAATCCCAATCCTGGGAAATCCCAATCCCTGGAAATCCGGAGGATTCCTAATGGATTTGGGGGATTTTCCTGTTTGGGGAGAATTCCTGAGGGATTTGAGGGATTTTTGGTGTTGGGGAGAATTCCTGAGGGATTTTGGGACTTGTGGGGAGAATCCTTAAGGAATTTGGGGGATTTTTCCTGTTTGGGGAGAATTCCTGAGGGATTTGGGGACTTTCCTTGGGATGTGACCCCAAAATCCTGGGATTTGGGATGTGGATCCATTCCGGGCTGGCAAAGGGATCCTCTCAGGCCTCACTGCTTTAAGCTGGGACAGCAATTAATTATGCTAATTAATCATGCTAATCAATTATCCTAATTAATAATGCTAATCATGCTGATTAACGATGAATAATGAATTATTTCAACAATGAAGATGCAGAATCCTTTGGAAGCAAATCCCAGATCCCGCTGGGAGCGTTTTGGGATAATCCAGGCCTGATCCCAAAGCTTGGGGTTTTTTTGGGATTTCTTGGGAATTTTTCCAGCTCAATCCTTGGATTCGGGGTTCTCCAAGGGATAATCCATTCCTGGTGGAATTGGGAATTCCTGCTTTTGGGATTTTTGGGATGAGCCACAGGGATCGGGACAACTCCTGCCAGTGGAAAATGGGATTTTGGCTTTGGGAAATCCCTGGAATTCAAGCTCCAGAGGCATTCCCAAATTCCAGAGGCATTCCCAAATTCCAGGCAACTTCTCCCCTGGAGCTTGATCCTACTGGAGTGATTTTGGGAATTTCAAACAGTTGGAAAAGGAATTTTTTCCTGGCTGGGTCTCCCTGCTGCCGCTTTTCCTGCAGCCGGAGGGTCCCAAATCCATGGAAAAGTCACTGGCACCCCCTGGAATTCCAGCTTTTCCTCCTGGATCCCAAATCCATCCCAAATCCCTGGAATTCCTCTTTCCCCCTGGAATTCCAGCTTTTTCCAGTATTTTTTACGGAAAGATGAGCACAAACCTGGATCTGCTCCAAACCCTCTGAGAGGAGACTCCAGGATGGGCAGAAATCCATTTATCCCATGGAATAATCCCATTTTTTCTGGGAATTTTGGGGCAGCCGGATTTGCTTCGATCTCCTGAAGATTTTCTGAATTCCAAAGGGGAAAAAAAAACAAAAAAAGGAGGAACTATGCAAATAATTCCAAGGAATTTTAGCTCTGGAGCTGGGTATTCCTGTCCTGCCAAATTGCTGAAAATTTAATTTATTGAAGGATCTTCTCGTCTGGGATTTGTTGTGATTGTCGAAAAATGGGATTTGTGGAATTAAAAATCTAAAAATGGGTTTGGGGCTAAGGTTGGGTTTTATGGGTTTGGTTTTGGGTTTAAGTTTTGTGGGTTTAATTTTGGGATTTATGGGGTTGAGGTTTGGGGGTTTAGAGAAGTTTGGGTTTAATTTGGGGTTTTGTGTTGAATTTCGTGGGTTTGGTTTTGGTTTTATGGGTTTAGTTTTGGGTTTTGTGGGTTTAGTTTTGGGTTTTGTGGGTTTAGTTTTGGGTTTGGGGTTTAGTTTTGGTTTTATGGGTTTAGTTTTGGGTTTGGGGTTGGGTTTTGTGGGTTTAGTTTTGGTTTTGTGGGTTTAGTTTTGGGTTTGGGGTTGGGGTTTGGGTTTTGTGGGTTTAATTTTGGGTTTTGTGGGTTTAATTTTGGGTTTTATGGGTTTAATTTTGGATTTTATGGGTTTAGTTTTGGGTTTAGTTTTGGGTTCTGTGGTTTAGTTTTGGGTTTGGGGTTTAGTTTTGGGTTTTATGGGTTTAATTTTGGGTTTGGGGTTTAATTTTGGGTTTTATGGGTTTAGTTTTGGGTTTAATTTTGGGTTTTGTGGGTTTAGTTTTGGGTTTGGGGTTGGGTTTAATTTTGGGTTTTATGGGTTTAGTTTTGGGTTTAGTTTTGGTTTTGTGGGTTTAGTTTTGGGTTTGGGGTTGGGTTTAATTTTGGGTTTTATGGGTTTAGTTTTGGGTTTAGTTTTGGTTTTGTGGGTTTAGTTTTGGGTTCGGGGTTGGGTTCTGTGGGTTAGTTTGGGCTCGGAGTTGACCTTGCTTTTATGGGTTCAATTTGGAATTTTCAGGGTTTCTCCTTCCTTCCCACCACCCGGTTCCCTCCCCAGAGCTCTGGGCTCAGCTCAGTAAAACTCAGTTTTAAACCTCGAGTTTAACCCCAGCATTGCCTGGATTTGTGTCTTTGCAAAAAGTGCCAAAATAAAGAGATCGAAACTTTGCCTTTTTGCCTTTTCTGCTTTTTTTGGGCTTTGCTTAGGAAATAAAACGGGAAAAAAGTTGGGAAAGCTCCAGTTCCAAAGCTGGGCTGCCCCTGAGGGAGATGTCCTGGTGGAAAAGCCCGGAGCTCCAGAGAGCTTTAATTAGGAGCAGGCAATTAGCTGGCATTAATGAAGGTGTTTACAGCGAGCAGCTACAGCCAGGCTTCAATTCCCTTTTCCCACTGGGATCAGATCTGGGATCTGGGCTGGGCCTTGGGGAAATTCCCACTGCAATTCCCAGGGAGGATTTTGGGCCGATTTCCTTGGAATTCCATGGATTTCCTTGGAATTTCTTTTTTATTCCATGGATTTCCTTTGGATTCGATGGATTTCCTTGGAATTCCCCGGATTTCCTTTGAATTTCATGGATTTCCTTGGATTTCCTTGAATTCAATGGATTTCTTTTTAATTTCTTTTTTATTTCATGGATTTCCTGTTAATTCCATGGATTTCCTTTTCATTCCTTTTCATCTCCACGGATTTCCTTTTAATTCCACATATTTCCTTTAATTCCACCCAATTTAATTTATTTTTAAAATTTTTATTTCCTAGATTTCTTGTTCCTTCCGTGGATTTTTTTCATTTCATCCCTGGAATTCCTTGTAGCTGGGAAATCCCTGGAGCCACTGGGGGGAGTCAAAGTCAAGGAGATTCCAGGGAAGTGGAGCTGGGAGCCAGAATTCCAATAATTCCTGGGAACAGGTGAATCATCCCACGGAATTCCTGGAAAAAACCAGGTCATTCATTGCCTCTGGATCAGAAATCCCGGGAGTTTGCCTCTGGAACAGAAATCCCAGGATTTTGCCCCTGGATCAGAAATTCCAGGATTTTTGCCCTGGATCAGTAAATCCCAGGATTTTTGCTCTGGATCAGTAAATCCCAGATTTTTGCCCTAGATCAGCAATCCAGGATTTTGCCCCTGGATCAGAAATCCCAGATTTTTGCCCTGGATCAGCAATCCCGGGTTTTGGCCCAGGGCACGGAGCTTTTCCGGCGCTTTTCCTGGGAATTCTCCCGAGCTGCTGATCCTGGGAAAAGCAATCCTGGGATTTGGCCTTTGGATCAGAAATCTCAGGAATTTTGGCCCTGGATCAGCAAATCCCGGATTTTTGGCACAGATCAGAAATCTGGGATTTTACCTTTGGATCAGAAATCCCAGATTTTGGTGCAGGGAACGGAGCTTTTCCCGTGCTTTTCCCAGGGTTAATATTAATTCCCTGATTAATATTATTTTGTTTTAATTATTCTTCCATTTTTCTCTGATGATGATGAGGATGATGATTATTTATTATTATTATTCCCCTTTTCTCTGGAATGTCCTGATTTTTTAAATTTTCAATATTTTTCCCTTTTTCTCTGCAATATCCTTATTTATTCCCAATTTCCCGTTCATTATTGAGGACGGCCACTCCCAGCTGGGCGATCCCCACGTTCACCACGGCAAGGATGTAAAATAGCAATAAATAAAATTATAAAAGAATAAAACCCAGTAGAAGTGAGTTAAACCCACAGAATTTTCGCTGCGTCCTCCCCCCACCCAAGGCTTTTTTCCAGCCGCTTTTCCTGCTCCGAGGACCCAGAGGCAATTAAAAACTTGGGATTTAATGAAGCTTTAATTGCGCAGGTGCTCGGCAGCTCCCAGGTGCCGAGAGGAAAAACAAAAGAGAAATTGGATTTTCCCAGCAGCACAACGGGGGATCTGTATGGGGCTCAGCTGGCTCCGCCACACGCAAATCCAGGAATTCGTCTGCTGGGATTTGGGGTGGGAATAAACAACAGAAACCAAAAGAATTCAAAATAAACCCATTTCTTACCCGGGGGGAGCTTGAGCCTAAAAACCGGGCATGGGGCAGAGAATCTTCAAACTTCGGGAGGAATATTTGGATTTTCTGGGGGGGTTTTGCTCAGGATTCCTCATCCCAGAAGGAAAATATCCCCTAGAAATCCAATTTTTCCTTTTCATCAGTCCGTGGATTTCTTTGGAATTTCCACTTTATTTCCTGGATTTCCTTGGAGTTTCTTTTTCATTCCGTGGATTTCCTTTAATTCCATGGATTTCTTTCGATTTCTTTTAAATTTCATGGTTTTCCTTTTAATTTCATGTATTTCTTTGCGATTTCCTTGGAATTCCATGGATTTCCTTGGAATATCATTTTTATTTCATGGATTTCTTTGGAATTTCATGGATTTCTTTCAATTTCTTGGATTTCCTTTTAATTCCATGGATATCTTTTGAAAATTTCCTTTTTATTCCATGGATTTCTTTGAAATTTCCTTTTGATTTAAGGTGAATTCTCCCAGTTTGTGAGGGGAAAGTGCCTGAATTTCAGCCCCCAAAGATGTAAAAAGCATAAAAATCACAATAAATTGTGTTTTTACCAATTTCAGTGCTCAGAATTGTGAATTATTTTTATTTCAGCACCTCCA